CCCCTTCTTTCTTCTTTCTCCTTTGATGCTTAATTTTTGCCCATAATTGCCATCAGTTTAGAGATACCCTCCAAAGATTGTAACACATTGGCTATTAGCACTGTGGTTTTCATTGGTAATGGTTCATAAGGGTAAGGACTCCTAAGCGATTTTTGTTATTATTGTGAATTAAAAGAATAAGGAAGTTTCACAGTGAATAGATCATAAAGTGACATTTGTGGATGCCTCTTTTAGTAAATTTTAATTTTCGAATTCTTTGTGGACAAAATTTTCTCTCATTTACTGTTCTAGAATATTTCTGAACCTCTGTTCCTTGTAGAACATCTCTTTGACTCGTGTGTTCATTGGTTAAAAGGTGCCAGTATCTGTTCATCCTTCAGTTATGTCTTTGATTATAGAGAAAACATAAGGCACAAGAGCATAAATTTTAAGGTGGAGTGCTTGAATGGCCAGAAAAACATCCTCAGTGATATATAGGGAGCCCTGGCTTTTCACATCTTATCCATTGATTGCTAGAGTTGATTTAACATTTATCTGGCCTATTTAGACTGGACTTTTCTTCTCTTATGTTGTGCTATGAGTGGCCTTGAGATTTCAGTTCAAGAGAACCATCCTTCCTAATGGTATAGATAAGTATTTTTGTTTAAGGCATTAATTTGTCAACTGAGGCGATTGTTCTCCAGGAGACATTTGGAAATGCCTAGAGACATTTTTGATCAGCACAACTGGGGTGGCTTGGGACCTGGGGATGCTACTGGCATCTAGTGAATACAGTTGAGGGAAGCTGCTATTATGCACAGGAAAGCCTCCTGCATCAAAGAATTATCCCTCCCACAATATCAATAGTGCTGAGGTTGAAAGCCCTGGTTTAGGGTACGCAGGTAGCTGGGCTGCTTTGCCAAACTTCCTCAGAGGCTCTCGGGGTTCTTAATAACAAATTCTATTGGCTACCATTGGCAGAAGTTACTTTTTATGGATATAAGTATATTACTTATATCTGAGGGCTAGGTAGATGCTTAAAAAGAGTTTCTTGGGAATTCTGAAGTTTAGTAATAGTTGATCTTAAAAATTAAGGTGTATCATATTGAAAAAAAAGGGCTGTTTTTCTTTCATCTTATAAATTTGCATTGTAATAATGCTTTAGAAATTAAAAATTCCTGAAGCATGTGCTCTCTCGATCTTCACTTTTAAGGCACTTATGAATCACTTCAAATCACTCTGTGATTTAAATAACTGGTTTTCGTGATACAGTTTTTCAGAGTCTAAGCTCTTCCAGGTCTGCACCATGTGCAACCACATTAAATCCATATAAAACATCAGTGGACATCTTAATATTTGCTTTTCCATGGTATCATCCTTTTTACCTCATTAATGAATTAGAAAGTAAACAAACCCTACTACACTACTATATTTAAGTACAATAAGAGAAAAATGAATTTTTTACATTCTACCTAGATTCTCAGAAAATTATTTAGGTCATTTGATCTCCTGAGTTTTTGAAAATTTTGGTATTTGAATTGTAAGATAGGATTTTCTAGTGATATGTTAGCTATCGGAAACTAAACATAGACTAAAACATACTTATACTTATTTATACCTGGTGGTTAAGTAATAGAACTTTTCCAGCTGTTTGTTTTTTCAGTGTTACTATCACTAACAATATTCATTAAGTGCTTACTTTGTACTTAGGGAAAGCACTGTACTAATTCTTTTTAGGAAATTTGATTGAGGTTTGGGGGTAAGTTGAAGGTGTTGCATGGATGCTTTTCCACAATTGGTAGTCTCCTTCCTACAATAGCAGTAGTAACTGTTATTTTTGTAAAGTAAGATTTATTTTCTCTTTAACATGCCTGTTGAAATAATAGGAATCATTGACTACATACGGATTAAACTGTCCTAGAAATTGTTTCATATTTCTCAAATTCATGCTTTAGTGGCATTAGTCATCTTTCCTAAATTAATGAATGTTATAGTCCCATCTCAAAAATCTAGCTTTTCTCATGAAGGTAATATGTAGTGGTTTCTTCTTCTTTTTTTAAAGATAATATATGGTTTGATTTTACCATGCCAAAGTAATAACATTGAATTCTAAATCCCTCCACAGGAAGCATTCTGTTCCTCAAGTGCTTAGAGACTTTAACAAGTTTCTTGTGTTAGGCTTTTGACACATTCCACATTTCTAAATAGCTTTTTTTTTCTTCTTCTTTTTTTTTTTTTTTAAAGAAAAGAACTTAATGGATTATGGTACAGTTGATAAAATTAGATACATACAGTGGAATTTTTTTGGTTTTGTTGAATAATATATTAGAGCAGTGACATTTTTCATTTCTGGTCATTGTTTCTCTTTATATATTATCCACTTCTGTGAAAATAAAGTGAGAACCTGGTGATAGAGACAGTTGGGAGACCTATATGTAGTTGGAAGAATTTTGCCTTATTGACTTTTTGTTAGCTAATGTCCATTTACATGAATGACTTCCTTTTTTTGTTTTTTTTTAAAAAAAATGTTTTTATTGATTTCAGAGAGAGGGAGAGAGAAAGAAACATCAATGAGAGAGTCATTGATTGGCTGCCTCTTGCAAGCCCCCCCCCCACTGGGGATCAAGCCTGAAATCCCAGCATGTGCCCTGACCGTGACCTCCTGGTACACGGGTGGACGCTCAACCGCTGACCCATGCCAAGTGGGGAATGACTTCCTTTTTATAAAGTGTATTTTGCTTTAAAGATGTTCATCTTTCAGATCCCAGTTAGCTTTATTCAGACTTGAAAGAGATGTTAAGAGAGATAAAAAGTAGAAAGACTAAAATACTCTGTAGTTTTCTTCTTGGGTGAGACAAGCTAAAGAAGAGTGGGGAACTAGATTGGGTCGTGCCCTTTCTATCCCCTCATTTGAATTCCCCCACAAAAACCCTGCATTTCAGCTCTTGCCTTTTATCTCATCTTGAGCCGGCCCAATAGGATAATGTTTCCCCGATAATGCTTATAATGATCCCACCCCTTTTCATCTCTCCTGTTACTATCAGGAAGAGTGACATAAGTGAAAGGACATTTGCCGCTAGTATTTGGTTAAATGATGTTGTCCCAGTACTTTGTGTACTTACCAAGTTCCACATCCTGTAGGATAGCTCTATAAAAAAAGAATTTTGTCTGGATCTATTTTAGTTTTGTAATTAGTAGAATTTTCATTTCATTTTCCTAAGTTTCATTTTTACTCTTCGCTATATATACTGTTAATATTTGTGTGTTTCTGACCTCCCTGAAATTTGTATTTCCAAATTTAGATTATTAACAACTTTAATTAACAATTTTCAGTTAACTTTAAAGAAGTTTCTAAGTGAAACTGGATCTAACAGAAATTGATTATATTTAAAGGTGGATTCATGCTTTTATTTAATTTTCGTCTTATGGTGGTTTTAAGTACAAATCAGTTTCAATAAATATGTGGTAAATATTTATGATAAATTATTTTGTTAAAATATGAATAAAATTTACTTCTGTGACTTTAGCAATTTAGGATTTTTATATTTGCCTAGGTTTACATAATTTCTTTCTCATAAATAAGTGCCACCTATTAAAAATGGTAGTATCCTAAATATTTATATCTTTATATTCAGATTTCTACTTTAATATGTATTAAGAAGTGATTATTTATACATACTCTTCTTCCTTTCTGTTGTCAGTCTCTTGGGTTATGAGAGTATTACTATTTGGTAAATATTTAACTTAGTTTGAGTGTAAGTTAGCTAATTTCTGAAATATATCTTATCCTAGCTTTGATATTTATACAGTACAGATTTCATATTTAGGTTTTTACCTTTTGCAAGTCTGAGAGAAGGCTAATACTTTTACATAATAACTAAGATTTCAGAATGAAAGGACTGTAGTATTTTGCTTATAAAAATGATTACCTTATTTGATGCTATTCGGAATATATTTCCTTTGTGAAATACATTTTTCCCCCCTTTGATACTGATTTTGGTTATGAGTGTCCCCAGTTTTAGGTCCTTGGCAATCTACCTCATAGGTTCTGAGGTTTAACTAAAGTATTTTAAAACATTTAAACATACAAACATAAAGTGATTAAGTGAATATATAACAGTGTAATTTTCACTGGACATATGTCTGAAAGTCTGTCTTATTAACTGATCTTTTGAGGGCTTTACAGATCAACTTTACAAACTCATTGTTTAATTCCACAATACAGTTTATAGCTTAATGTTGAGGTATATAATATTCTTTTTACTTTTTGTTTCGAGGTACTGAAAAAGCAGTGTTGGTTCTCGTACCATTCATTGTTCTGTTTGTCCTCATTAGTTGACTGTTGTGTGTTAAACAGACATCCCTGGAGCTTATTCTCCACACTCTGTGAATCCACCCATTAATCACCAGTCACCTTTGGAGATGGGAAAATTACTTACCTGTATTTCTTTTTCTCAGAAAGCGTGCTCTGGAATGGATTCACAAATGAGCTACCCTCCTTCCCTCAAAGAGTAAGGTTTCTGCTTTACAGGACTTTTTTTCTTGGGTTATTTTTTCTCTCACCTTTTGAATTTGAAAAGAACTGAGGGAAGGCACCTGAAGAAACTACTGACATACTCACTAGGGGAGTTCCAAAGCTTGTGCTGCCCTAGGGGCAGTGTCAATGGCTCTTAAAGCTAGAAAGCTCATACTTGGAGTTGAAACAGGGGCTCAAAGAATCCATTTTCCCAGTGTACCTTCTGAAAGGATAAGTTTCAGGTAAGTAATTTTCTCTTACTATGTAATATGCGTTACTCATACTTATGAAAGTACACGAGTCCAGTTCTCCAGGCACATAGGCAACTGTATTTGTGCAGTTCAGGGGGATAAGCTTTACTGAATGCTAGCAAGATTATAAAACAAAATAAGTCCACTTTTAAGGTACGTGAAATTCTGTATTATAAATCAACAATAAATATTTCATTAAAGGATATTTATGATCAGGGTATTGTGCTGGTGTTGTCATTTACTTCTTATTAAATAAAATCTCGATAAACTTATTTTTTTAGTAATTAGAAATTAAAAAGAGCTTTTGAACTCAAATTCCAACCGGTGTTTAAAATTGAGAGTGTATTAGCACGTGCATGCACACACACACACACACAGGCTAGGGTGATGGAAGTTATTTACTTTATTATTTTTTTAAATATGTTTTTATTGACTTGAGAGAGAAAGAGGAAGGGAGAGGGAGAGAAACATCGATCGGCTGCCTCCTGCATGCCCCCTGCTGGCGATCAAGCCCAAAATCCAGACCTGTGCTCTGGCCAATCAAACCAGCAACCTCTCGGTGCAAGGGGCGATGCTCAAGCAACTGAGCCACACCAGCCGGTGCCAGTTATTTACTTTAAATTAGATGCTTTCTGTATGTATATTGACCAGAGTGAATTAATGAAGTACTTTTTAAATATTCATACAATTTAAAAATTTTATTGTGAGAGAGTTTGAGCTGTTATAAGTAAGATTTTTTTAATGTAGTAGCTATATGTAGTGTGGATTTAGCTTAAAAGAGATTCTTTAGAGCTTGTCAAATATTTCTGCTCAGTTCTTTAACTACTAAATGCAAAGTGGCTACTAAAGAGTAGCAAAAAGTATATAGCAAAATATTAAACACTGACTCACTAATTTTTCTGTGTACTTTTATTAAATTGCATGTTGATTTAGTATTTTAAAGTTTCAAACATTCTATATACTTCTACTTCAGAAGTAGTTTTGAAGTGAAACTTAACTTTAAAATAGTCCGTATGAACAAAACAGCATTTTAAAATATAGTTACATTTTTCACTTAGGATTGAGATAGGTTTGGTCACCTTCAACCATTTGAAATAGTAGCTCTGAACTTGAAAATAAGCAAAACAGACTTTTAAGTAGCAAATGACAGTCACAAAGTACATGCATTTTTCTCTGCACCCAAGAGTAAGAGTCTTCAGAAAAGCAGTTATGTCCTGGTCACAGGGATTATTGGGCAGCTGAAGTTAACAGCTCTCTCCAGAAGCAAGAACAAAGAATGCATTAGTATACACCTGAAGCAGTTCAGCTTCCAAGAATATTTGTTTTGATTTCTTTCTTTTTTTTTTTTTTTAAAAATATATCTTTATTGATTTCAGAGAGAGGAAGGGAGAGGGAGATACAAGCATCAACGATAGAGTCATTGATTGGCTGCCTCCTGCACGCCCCTGACTGGGGATCGAGCCTGCAACCCGGGCATGTGCCCTGACCAGGAATTGAACCCCAATCGCCTGGATCCTAGGTCAACACTCATCCGCTGAGCCACGCCCAGCTGGGCTTGTTTTGATTTCTTACAAGGATATTACTCTTACTACAGTGACATTGAGTCAGAATTTCCTTGTCTACGATTATTCATTTAATTGTTCATTTAAAGATTTTGAGCAGCTTTTCCAAAAGAACTTGAAATTGAATTAGACATTTAATACCAATGATTTGAGTTCATAAATTATTGTGACAGACTTTAGATTTGTCTTTGAGCCTTCTGACAGTGACCTGGCAAATAGGAGAAATGGGGTAAATTATGTAGTTTTAATTATTAGGTAGAAGACTTTCACAAATTCTTTAAAAAAACACATCTATACTTAATCCTAAAGTTTGAAAGAAATGTCTGATGAATTATTTAATATAGAGGCATTGAGTGATGAAGTGTTACTGTTTAAGGTTTTTTTTTTAGTGCAAGGACTACAGTGGATCTCAGATTTTACAAAAAAGGTTTTTATATTCAGAAAGCAGATGATTGTCTCAGAACCTATTGCTTGATTCTAGGATATCATGTAAGATGCAATATTGACTTAATAATGGCTCTTGGGGGAAAATAAGAACTGCCACATTGAGTAATTGTACACGGTAATAAATGTGAAAAGTTAAAATGTGACAGATAAGGAAATATGTATATTGTAGAAAGGTGAGCATCAGAGATGATGAGCATCAACAAGTAAATGAAGCTTTAAGGAACGTGATGTCTGTTTTTTTTTTTTTTAAAAAAAAAGACATTAAAAGGGTTTTATAATTTTGCACTGCTCACTATTTATAAGATGGTATTTTTTAGCAAGATAAACAGAAAACTTAAAAATTTTAATTGTCCAGCCTAAGAAATCTATCTACTCAGGGGGAGGATAATAATTGGATGTGTGAACTGCTCTGAAAGTGAAGCACAGACGCACAGTGGGTGCGCACAGGAGCGGTGCGCTGTGATACCTTCAGAAACACATTTCGGTGAATCTTTTAAAATAAGGAAATATAAAACGAGTGCTTGGAAATGAAGGTGTTGCTGAACGAAAGATGTAGATGCAACATAATTACTGTAAGAACAATCCACAACTAGTTATGTGGGTTTAGAATATGTTGCCTTGGTTTTCCTATGACTTTAGTAGGAAGCAAAATTTATTTCCTCAGTCTTGTTTTCTGTCTTCTTTTTGAGCTTCTTCCATTTTACCCTCTGTTTGGACAACAGCTAAACACTGAGTGTCCTGTGCTTTTACCCTTGTTGACTGTTTATTTTATTCTGTTGTGAATCCTATTTTAAGGCACTTGTACTGATCCTTTTCCAAGTAGAAAGTTTTGCGAAAATGAGATAAAATTTTTTGAGGTCATAAAAATCACATAAGCCACACATATCTCTGATCTACACTTTTTTTTTCTTCCTGTAATAGAGATCAAATCTTTGCATTTATACAGCAGAAGCTCACTTTCATTGACTTGTTACATTGAGAGGTTCCTTAAACCAGATTTCCGTGCATCATTTTCTTTGGGTTTACTCTCCATTATAGACTGATACAATATATTTAACAATGCTTCTAACTTTTAGCTGTTTTGTTTCCTTAGTCTTTTGAATTGCTCGTGACTATAAGGTTTTACAATTTGAAATAGTTTTTAACATCATAAAACACTGGTGATAATCATTTCTTTATTACCTTCCCAAATATGCCTTTTATTTTTATGTGCAAGGGCTCTTGGGAATGATTCTCTCAAAGGCTTAAGCTGTGCTTTGCCTTCCTTGAGAAGTGAAATTATTTGGTAAGCGCTTGCTTTCTTTTTAGCTTCTAATTTTTCCCTATTTTATTTTGTACATGATATTTGTTTCAAGGTCAAAGGTTCCGTTACAGTTACTATGATGAATCCCAGGGGGAGATTTATAGATCCATTGAACATCTAGATAAAATGGTAAGTCTTTCAGGTGTGGGGTTATTAATGCTCTAAGATTTTTTTCTTTAATTTCAGATTAGTGATTCGAGACTTAATATGTTGAAATATACAATGGACTAATAATTATTTTATCTTTAAATGTGCAAAATATAGTTTGTAATCATATTAATATTGATTATAAAAATAATCCCTGTTCTGTTAGTGGAATTTTTATTTGATTAATGAGACAACCTAAGGATAATTAGATACGGACTTTTGATATTATTTGGGGGAGTGTATTAGTTTTAGAGACTACAGGGTGTGAATGCCAATACTTACTGTTAAGCAGGAACAACCAGAGCAAATTCTTATTTTATTATTTAATTCTACTTTTGTTCATTTAGATTTTTCTTAGATGGAATTTCAGTTTGTTATTTTAAATATATAATTTTAAAACGATTTTATTTTTACCTAGCTCAGGAATACAGTACATCGATCCTGTCATTTTTCTTGAAGTAGTATGGTAGTCATAGTACTTCTTTTAATACTTAAGAAGTCATATAAATCATTTTGATATCTACTCATAAACAGAATATTATACCAAGCAAGTATATCACTAACTTGCTCTGACCTTTGACAGGCTCTTTCAGTCCTCTAGCCCTCACCTTGTCACTCTGAGATGAGAGCAGTGGAGCAAATGGTCTCTGAATTGCCTTTAAACTCCATCAGCCTTTAAGTCTATGATTTTTAAAATCAGCGTGACCACTGTATAAGAAGCTTTCTGCACATGTTTTAGTACAAGAATATGCAGTCTGTAGTAGATAAAATGTTTTAGTAAGGAACCTGGATCTGAACCTATAGACAGGTTATATCACAGTATATTTTATTAAACACCAGATGGAATGAATGCACATTTAGTTACTTAAAGATTTTTATTATATTAAAATTTATTTTGTTACTTTAAATACAATTATGGCCTAATACTTTTACCTTTGGGATTTTGTCTAGATTTTATTTACTAACTTTTCTTTTGGCTTTATTATATTGTCATTTCAGTCATTTAATTCTTTTCTGGCTTCTAGTTCTAATCTTATTTTTCTGAGCTTTAGTTACCAGTTGCCTCAGAAAACTTTTCTGGTTCTTCTCATCACTTATTTTTTAATACACCAAATGGTTAATGGGTGTCTACTGTGTATCTGGTACTCTGTGTAGTATTGATGATATTAAGAAGAGAAAACATGGTCTCTGACTTAGTGGAACTTACAGTCTAGTCTTTGAATAGACTTAAAAAGAAGTTATTACAATATAGATATGTAAGAGATATTTAGGGGAGGTAGTGTGGACACACTGGTCTCCTTACTGTTCCTCAGTAATGCCATATATATGCCTAGCTTGAGACTTCTGCCCTTTTTGCACTTGACTGTCTCACTTACCTTATTTCACCTTCCCAGTGAGGACTGCTCACCACCCTGTTTAATTTTGTGTCCTATACACTCAACCCATTCAGCATTCCCAAGCCATCGTACCTTGCTCTACTTTTTCTTCTAACAAACTAAATATTTTACCTGTTTATTACAATTGTGTTAGGATATTTTTTTCTCACTGATGTATCCAAAGTGCTTAGAATAGTAATTAAAACATAATAAGTAGGTACTCAATAAATATTTTTCAAATGAATAAATTAGTGCATATGACCTTCTGATATACATAATTAAATTAAATTAATACCCTAATTGTAAATGAAAAAGAAATAAATGGAAATAATTAATATAAATTAATACATATTTAATAATGTAAATGCCCAGGCACAACTCTATTAGTTAAGACATCTTGAAGTAGTTAGATGCTTACAAACACATAGTATCATTAATGTAACAACTACAAATGCAAACTCAGTAAATTGTAAACTAAACGAAGTTAACAATCTTCCTTCCCTTTATAAGATAGTTCTATTCCTGGGAAATCCGTATATGCATTAAAATCATATAAAACTTCTTTATGTTTGTATGTAAAATGGAGTTAGGATGTAGGTAGTTACAAGCAGGTTTTTCACCTGCATGGACATGTGACCGTGTCATAGAATGAGAACAGTACTTTGTGTGGGGGACTGTTCTGTAATGCAGGACAATCAGCATCCCTGGACTCGACTGCTAAATCCCCCAGTAGCGTCTTCTCATTATTGAGACAACCCAAAAATGTGGCCACAATTTTTCATTATGGCTCTGTGGTGAGCAGTTGTTCTATGAACTTACTGTGCTTTACTCTTCATCTTAGTACTTATTAGTATGTGACTATGATTTAGTCTTCGTTGATTTGTTTGGTGATAACCTACTCTGTTAGATTATAAGCTTCATGAGATCAGAATCTGTGTTTTGTATCAGCATGTCAGTGGGTACTTGAGACACATATATATTTGTTGAATGAATCGATGGACAAATGGATGGGGGCGTGGTGAGAAATCAAGCTAGAGAATCTAGAACAGACTGTTTAAAGAAGATTAAATAGGAAAGTGGTAAAATCAGATTTCATTTGAGTAGATTATATAGCAGCAGTGGAGCAAAGGGGTTGGAGGGATGCAAGGGTAGAAATGAGTTAGACTAGTTGGGTATTCAGGTGAGAAATGGTAATTTAAACAGTGAATGGGGTAGTGATGGTGGAAGAGAGGGGGACAGAGTGGATGCATTCAGTATATTTAAAAGACAAATTTATGGTAGGAGTTGGAGAAGGAGGTGTCAGGGATGGCTCCTAAATGTGGTTTATGCTACTGGTGGGGCGTTGCTGTTCACTTGGGTCAGAAACATAAGCAGATAGGTCCAGATTTTTTAGGAGGTGGAGAGGTCATAAATCCTGTTAGGGAATATTTGCTGTTGCCTTTAAGACATCCAAGTGGAGATGTCTGTCAAGTAGGCATTTGGGTTTTCATCTTGCCTGTTACTTTTGGGTGCGTTTACAGTGTAGGTGCTGGTAGAGATTCTGCAGTGAACGAGCAGACTTGATCTCACAGAACTTTCATACTAATGAGAGGGAGAAACACATTGTTTTAAAAAAGGCAAGGAGTATGTAAGTTAGTTTCCAATAGTGATGTGTGCTATACAGAAAATATTTAGATGGTTTTGAGATAGTAAATTATTCGAGGCTGATTGGAGAAAGACTTCCTGAGGAGGAACATTAAACTGAGATAAATGAGGAGGAAGAGCACACCAAGTCATGATCAGCGGAGGACCTTCTACACTGAAGGAACTGCCAGTGTAAAGACCTTAAGATGGGAAAGATGCTGATTAGAAGAAAAGAAAAAAGGCCAGTGTTGCAGTGGTATAGTAAAGGGTAAGTGGATAGGCAGGGATCAGGTCCTGCCAGGCTTTATATTCCAGCGTAAGAAGTTTATGTAAGTGCGGTGGGAAGTGAGATGTAATTTACATCATTTTAAAGGTTACTCTCTCTGGCTGTTGCAGAAAATAGGTTGTACAGCAAGGTCAGGAGTAGTGACTGGGCATTGGCAGTGGGCTAGGGAGAAATCATAGATGGTAGTTGAAGCCAGGGTCGAGATGAGATTGTCAACCGTAGTCGTCATCAGTTCCGTTTTTACAACTGAAATAATCTGTGGAACTTTTTCAAAATAGACTTACCCATGCCTGCTCCTGGAGATCCCCTTTCAGTAGTGTGGAAAGAGTACCAACATCTTTATTCGTAAAATAGCTTTGCAGGTAAATTTGAACTAGCCCACTATGGTTCCTGATCTGTTGAAGTAGAACAAAATTTCCTTGTTTTCTCCCCTTGTTTTCTGCGTAGCTCTTTATATCATTTGTAAACTTTAATCAGGCAACATTTTGCAAATGTAAGAATTTGTACATCAGTGAATGATGCTTTTAGCATAGGAAGATGTTTTCCCCAAAACATTGGCTTACCTGTTGCTCTCGAGTGAACATAATAGCATCCTTTGGAACTCTCTAGAATTGTGATCACAACTAAGTACTTCAATATTCTTCATTATTCTGTATTTGTGTTATATATAAACATCCATACTTAACAATTCTTTTAGCTTAACTGTGTTGATTGTTAGTTTATATTAAGAGTAAGTACTAGCTTAATTTGTCTCTCTTGATGTATAGGATCAGTTAAATAGGTAGATCTTGGATTCTTACTTTGAGGCAGAGCAGAAAAGAGTATTATTTACCCATTGGCATGATTCTCATTACTTTGCCTGAAATTGTTGCCTTCTCTCCTAGCTTCTAAGTCTTTGAAACTTAAAAAGTCTGAGTAGAGCCAGTAAGCTTTAGGTGACTTCTAAATCTGCATCTGATTTACCTTACTTTAGATGTCCAAAGTTACCAGAGCATAACTTAAAAATTTTATTTAAATAGCCTGGGATACCATTTCTGAATAAATATTGAGTATTTGCTTCATATTAATATACTTGATTTTAATACTTGATACAACATTTGACTTGGAGTTGACTTTTGTGGTCCATTTATTGAAACATTTCTATTTATATATAGAAATTTTTAAATGGCTCATAAATGTTCTGTTCTTTGATTAGCATGCTGTTAAGTTATAAATTAATTCTGGGAGTTAGAGCAAACAGATTAAAATAATGGTTAGCTCTCTTTGTAGACTCATGTATATATGTTTTTATACATATATGTGTATATGTCCTCTCACTGTAAGGCAAACTCTTATATAATGTATTTTATTAATTGATTTATATAACCAATTGGTGACTATTCCTCCTTATATTCTTTTTTTAAAGTGTCATTTTATGTTATACATAATCTCATTTATTTGAGAACCAGTATCTTAGTTCCTGTATGCAGTCTTTTCAGAGCAAATACAGTGCCATCCATGGTTCTCTTTATAAGTGCTACAAAAATGTTAGTAATTAGAAATTATAATAATTATATACATTTTGAAAGTTTGATAGAGTGAAAAGAAATTATTTTTAAGTATACAATTTTTAGATTTAACCTGTTTAAAATTAAGTTTCAGTCCTTTTTTATTATCAGAAAAGTCTTGTTAAATGTAGTTATTAAAAAGCTAGAAAATAAATGAAAGTATTTCTAGGTTCCAAAAGCAAAAGAAAAATAGCTGTTTTTATTACAAAATGTTTATATCTCTAGCATTTGAATATCTCGGAAATTAATTATGTGAAAAAAATACATCAAGAGAGAAAAAATATGTAAGAAAATAAACTGGATCTTTCAAATGCTGTATTTGGGGGCGAGGAATAAAGGTAACTAGTTATAGGCGATGTAGATTTTGAAAGTCATAATGTTATCGGCTACTGACCATGAGTTTTTGGTAATAAGTACTTTGTAATTTCAGTAACTACAATGACAAAGGCAGAACATATTTTAAGACATCGATTTTTGTTAACCTCTTAGATCACATACTTGAAACTTTAGCCATACTCACACATATTTTATATATTACATGATCAGATTTTTTCTGTACCACTTTTGATATAGACCAATGTTTCAGTATGAACATTGGCAAATTACTTACAATTTGGCAGAGAGGATCTGAAAGTGTCATTGTAGTCATCTTATTACTTCTTTTCCTTCCACACTTACTAGTAGTCACTTCATTTTCTTTGAACTTCAACTACTTTTCCTCCCATTTTGAAAGTGAAATTGTTCACATTTGTCACACTTCTTTCTCTTGAACTTAGACCAATAGTTTCTTTAGTAGTCTTCAGTAGTTTTAAAACATCTTTAAGATAGCTATTTAAGGTAACGATTTAAGATAGCAATATATGATCTTTAAGATAGTATATTGCTTCTTAGCACTGGCTATCTTTAGGGTGATTTTTCCCCCTCCATAAAATGTATTTCATTATACAACTTTATCTTGACGCCTCTTACAGAAACTAGAATATTTCCTGTTCTCATCTTACCTCCCTAAATGTATACTCATCTCTCCTACATAAATGTATATCCTTACTTAAAGAAAGAGTCCTAATGACTTGATAATATCGTGATTAATTATGTGTTCATAATTAAAAGACATGATTCTAGTTTTTATTTCTTTAAAGACCTCTAAAAAAGTTTAGCTACTCTTTTGTATTTGTTATTTTAGAGGGAGATTACTTCTGGATGATGATACTTAAAATTAAATACAATTTTAATATTTTATTATACATAGATAAACTTTTTTAGAAGTGGAGGTTTTTGTTGTTTTACCAGAGTCCTGAATTTGCAGTTCTCTCAGTTAAAACTGCCTATTTAGTTTAGGATTGCCACTGGGATTTGACATTGCAAGTTTTCACCCATTGCTTGGAGGGTGAGCACAATAATAGATTCCTTTTGCCCTTGTCTTCCTCAAGGTAGAGAGTTAGCTTTCAGTCTGAGGGTTTCTTGCTGAAGACATTCAGCTTGTGACGGATAGACTCGTGGTGTTTATAATGTCTGATTTGTATCTTAGAGCTGAATGGGTAGTGATCCCCTTCACTGCTTCATATTAGATTAAATTCATGTGAGCAAATCGTCAGTAAACAAGGCTGTAGACAAGCTTTCCATTGCCGGGACCTTAGATCCACTGATGATATATTCCAGCATTTTAAGAAATAGAAAAATTAGGCATATTTGAGAAGCATTTATTTTTCATCATCTTGGAATTTTGGTAATAGTAATTTCAAAATTGTTAGCATCAAAGTGTAAATATACAAAAGTATATTTACCAGTGTTTTCTCAGCTAATGGATGCCCTGTTCTGCAGTTTCATTGTCATGATTGCTGTGCTCCATGAGGTTTTCAGCTGTAAAGCCTTAGCTTCTCTGTCGCCCGTTAGTGAAAGCATGCCTCTGACCATCGTCCTCAGCGGGGAGTGGAGTGGAATGACATTGATTCTTGCCCTAGTTGGTACATAACACACTTTTGGGAATGAAAATTTTAAATTTATTCCTTTATAATCCATCATCACAATTTTTTATTGTTGTAATTTAACCATTGAAGATACACTTTATTTAGTAGCGTCTTCTACATTTATAACTTCATATTTTTCTGTATGAAATTTCTTGTTCAGTTGCTTTGAATTCTTTGTTTTCTAAAATGGGATCATTCGTTTCCTTCTCTTTGAATTTCCCATGTCAATATATATATTTGATAAGTTCAAAAATGTGCTTTGAGATTTTAATATTAAAACATACATTGGAACCTCAATGTCACATAATTTATTAATGAGTGGAATTCTATTTAAGGCAAGCTGTCCTAGACAACATCCAGCAGAATTAAAATTCTCATATAATGTGCATACATATTATTTAAAGAGATTATTTAAAGAATTGTTGGTATGTCTTCTGTGATACTGTATAAAGCAGAGTCGTCAATGAGAATGAGTTTAGGATTAGAAATGTAGAAGCAAGCTTTTAACCCTTTTCATGTCTCAGTTTCTTCATCTTTAAGGAGTTATATCTTGATTATCTGTATTTATAAAAGAGATTTGTTACTTCATCTCTGTATTACTACTTGGCCTAGAAGTATATTGTGTGATTTTTCTTTGCACCAGAATTGTAATACTAATTGCTTATCTTAGGTTTAACTTTTAAGTTAGCTCATTTGTCTCTGAGCTTACACCAAATGTCAGTGGAGACTATTGATGTGGATGCCTTGTAGTTGGCAGGGGAAAACCAACTGAGCATTACACACTGGTTGTCATGAGTCTGAGAGGGGCTGAACGATGTAAGCAATTGAAAGGTGATCATACCTGCATGTGCCTGATCTTTTTTGTGTTTTTTTTTTGTTAATCCTCACCCAAGGATATTTTTCCATTGATTTTTTTTTTTTTAGAGAGAGAGTGGAAAGGAGGGGGAGAGACAGAGAAACACTGATGTGAGAGAGAGACGTAGACTGGTTGCCTCCCTTTCAATGCCTTGGGGCCGGGGATCGAGCCTGCAGCCCAGGTACGTGCCCTCGACCAGGATCAGACCCAAGACCCTTCAGTCCACGGCCCACGCTAACCACTGAGCCAAACCGGCCAGCGCATATGCCTGTCTTTTAGATGTAGTTGTAGAAGAATGTGATGAAGTTTATGAAGGACTAGAATATTCTGAAAAAAGGTTCTTTATTAATTACATTTTGATGCTGCCACCGCAATATTTGTATGTCATCTACTGATTACCGTGATTTTTCGGATGACTGCGCATCTGATTAGGTGCTTTTACACATTGCTTGTTTTGTTGAAACATTTTGAAATATAATTTTAAAGCCATACAACAATATATTAGTTAATTCCCCAGTTAAACCACCATTTACATTGCTCCTAGCGGATTTTAATCCAGTTTGTTGAACACAAATATAAGGTTTTTTCCCAGAATAAGAAAACAAGGTAAGGTAACTGCTGAATGGTGAATGAGTTAGCATCATTAATTTATTTCCCCGATTCAGACGAGTTGAAGTTGTTCTGTGTTAATGTCTTACGAGCACATTATTTGAATGCACTTGCAGAATATGGAACTTAGTGTAAACAAGTGTCTGAGTCATAGTGATTGTTTTAATAGTAGTCTAAGAACTTTGATTCTGAATGAAAATCTTGAAAATAAAGCATCATTCTAGTTTAAAGTATTAAAAAGATTTAAAAGCTTTTTCAACTTGTTCATGAATGACCTATTTTATTAGCTTTTTATTGATCTTTTATGGGCTTTAAATTAATTAAAAATATGTAAACTATGTTTTTTAGTTTCTCGTATCTTCTTCTATATCACATATCTAGATAATTACTGATAATTTAAAATGTCTTGCACACTGTTAATATTTAAGTTTAGTTATGGAAATTGTTAAATTGCAAATCAACTCTTGATTATGCCAATGGTAGGAGAAATATAGTGGATATGGGGAAAACAGGCACATATCAAATTTAATTTTAGATTCCTGTGAAAATTTTCATAACAGATATTCTTTTGTAAATATATATAAGAAAAACATAAAATTATGAAGTTTGAGGATTATGAGCTAAGTAACAACTGGTGAGGGTGGTATAGAAACAGGACGTCAGGGAAAACTAAACGGATTACGTTTTCTTTCAATAAAGTGTACATATTATTGAGAGTTGACTGTAATGAAACTAGCTTTGAATGAATGAGTTTGGTATTTCACAAGGTTTATTTAATGTATTTACTTCTCCTTAATTGAAAAATTACACTGTTTAGCTTCTAAGTAACAGTTTTTAAATATAACTGGGAAATAATAGTGTCCTTTTTTCTTTCATTTTTTTTGTTTCTCTCTCTCTCTCTCTCTCTCTCTCTCTCTCTGTCCTTTTAGGGTATGAGTATTATAGAACAATTAGACCCTGTATCTTTTAGCAATTACTTGAAGAAATATCATAATACTATATGTGGAAGACATCCCATTGGAGTGTTATTAAATGTGAGTATCCTTAGGAAGCCTTTATTTTTAACATTTGATCTTGTGACATTTTAAAATATCTTTAGGGTATCTGTGATACCTTATCAACATTTGTTTTAGGTACGTATAGTCAGTTTTCTTTGTTTCTTATAGTACCTTTAAGATAATTTGGATTTCCATTGTTTTGGTTACTTGAATAAAGTTATCACTGAAAGACAGGCCAATACTTTCTTTTAAATTCAGAAAGTTATTTAGAATACAAACCTATTTCCTCTAGGTTCTCAGCCAATTCCAGTATGCTGTTTATAAATATAAACTAAAGTAACCTTTCAAGAGATATGTTCTTATTGATTTCTTGGTTTTATTTAGAGCCCTAGGCTCTATAAAAAATAAATGGAAGGTTTTTCTCTTCAACTTTAGATTATATATATATATAAAAGTTAATAAAGCAAGACCGGTGACATGTATATGTTTTGTTTTCTCTTTACAAGAAAAACAATTAAAATTTATTTAAGGAATGGTGGTAATAGGCAGAAGTTTGAGTTAGCTGGATTTTTGAAAGAGAGAATTAACATTAATTTTCCCCCTAATAAATAAAACAGTATGGATTTTCTTAAAGAAAATGCAAGACTTTTTAAGAAATAAGAAAGTGTATACTCAGGAATGGGAGGAGGAAGTAGTAATAGTGTCATTGTTTGGAAAGACAGAAATAATAGAGAAGGTAATGTAATCTAGAATAGTCTAGGGTGGGGATTGGAAGTCCAGGGTTAACTTGATGTGATGTAAAAGTTGGTACATTGTGGATATTTATGAAGGGTTTTCTCTCAAGCAGTATTGACTAACTAAAAGAAAAGCCTATTAAGGGCTTGAACTAATTTCTGAAATTTAAACTAGAATAAGATACACTAATTTCCTAATATCAGAAGTGAATTAAATAACATTTTAATAAAATAAATGATGAACAGCACACAATTATAGTAAAACTTCCGGCACATTGCTTGTATACACTTCATCCTTAGCCAGAGTCAGACAAAGAAATGACTCCAACATTTCAAAGTAGTAGAGTAGCTAAGATTTGGTTTAGAGACTAGAGGGAAAGATGCTATGAGTTCTATGTTTTTGTTTTTAAGTGGCCTTATTAAATACAAGGAGAGAGGCAGGGGTGGAAGATGACTGATATTTATCCAGAACAGAGGTGGGGAAAGTCTGGCCCGTGGACTGTATACGGCCCTCAAAATTATTTGGTCTGGCCCTGCCGAGGCAACCACAGGCGGGTCTTGAAATTCAATAAATCTAGGAGCTTTTTTCATAGTTAATTTTTTTTTTAATCCTTACCCGAGGATATTTTTTCGATTGCTTTTCAGAGAGAGAGGAAGGGAGGGAGGATGGGGGGTGAGAGAAACATCCATGTGAGAGAGACACATCGATTGGTTGCCTCCCACGCTCAGACGGGGATTGAACCTGCAGCCGAGATATGACGTGCCCTTGGCTGGAATTGAACTTGGGACCCTTCATTCCGAGGGCCGAAGCTCTAACCACCGAGCAAAACTGGCCAGGGCTCATAGCTAATTTCTAAGTTGATAGTTTTGTATGGCCCATGAATGATGTTATAAATATCCAAATGGCCCTTGGTAGCAAAAATGTTCCCCACCCCTGATTTAGAAGCTATGTTAGGAGAAGTTCTTCGATAGAATGAAATAAGGAATTCTCATTTATTGCCATTTAACATGAGCTAATGAGAAATTCAAAAAACAAGTGAACAGAAGAGAGAGAGATCTAGGCTTCAGCTGTGAAGGGGACAAAATTAAGCCACCAGCACGTTCAGAGAGTGCTCATTTCTTTATATGATGTCTCATTACCACATTTTTCTTTTTCTAGGCTATCACAGAGCTCCAGAAGAATGGAATGAATATGAGCTTTTCCTTTTTGAATTATGCCCAGTCAAGCCAGTGTAGAAACTGGCAAGACAGTTCAGTGAGTTATGCAGCCGGAGCACTGACGGTCCACTGAAGCTCTGAATCCTCAGGGATGCCACCTGCACACTCATACTCTGTTCGGGGTCCCAGCCTAGCCCTTACCAAGATCCTGGTCCTGGTTTGGGGGGATTCTGAAACCTCAAACTAATAGAACTTTCTTCTCTCCTTTTCTAGTAGGTGTAGTCCTTCCTTAATTTCAACTCATTAAAAAATGCTTTATAGTTTAGGGCAGTGGAAGGAAGGCTGGCATCAAATATTTTGATCAAAAACGATGGCAGTGTAATGGCCCAGTTGTGGCGGTGTTTTGAAAGTAACTTGTAAAGCATTTACCATATCCTAAATTTGCACTCTTTGCAGACTTGTGCACATATATTCCGCTTTCAGAATAGTTTTGCAAATTGTACACAAACAAAAAAGGTGGAAGCTTTTTAATAAAGAAATTGCATTTATAAATGATCTGTATTAGAATATAATAATTCTCCAGTTATAGTCAATTACTACCCGTGTTGTACAACAGATACCTTCTATTTTAGTTGCTAATAAAGGGCTACACAACTCAAAATAGTCTGATTTAAACTTATTGCTCTGTGGTACATATGACAGTTGTTTTTTATTCATCTCGGAATTTTTATGTTAGAAGTGGTAAACTTCAGGTCTTATATATGTTCGGATGTATTTTATATTTTGCATATTTATGTGATTTTTTTATCACAGATATTAGAATAATATTTTAAAGTTAGCTTTTTAAATTACATACAGTTTGTTTTTGTGTGTGTGACATCATTTTGTGTCATTACTATATTGTATATTCAAGATAGATAAAAGAACACAGATGTAGTCCTTCAAAGATCGTGTTTGATAGGCAGTAGTCTGCAAATGAGGGAACATGGAAGAGTGTTCTTAAGAGATTTTCCAATCATTGCAGACCACACACTGCTGCTATGCTTTTTTAGTGCTTTTAAACAATTTGACTTGAATTTTTAGCAAGAAATCGTTAACAATAACAACAAAAAGCCACTGCACTTTTTATAGTTCTAACATTTTTTTGTCATGATTTTTGGTGCGGCTCTTCCAACTAAAATAATGGTATGGTGTTGTATTTCTTTCTTAGCATAGACAAATTCTAGTCACATTGGAAAAAAATGTAATTCAGTTTAATTATTGGCCATCATGCATGTACTAGATTATACCTATTTTAATCTAACACTGGGTGTCTTCATTACATTGGAGAACATTTATATCTTCAATGTTATGCCAGAATAGCACAATTTTTAGATGCCTTGCACCAATTTTATTTAAAAATTGCATTTCTTATTTACTAAATATCAACTTTCTATATGCAAGTATTGAGATAAAATAATGCTATCTTTTGGATTCAAAATTACCCACCTATACATGTGTGGAAATTATACTCTTACATATTACTGGTTATTTCCCATCATTTAGATACACTTTTGAGTGCTATAAATATTTATTCCTTATTTATTATATAGACTATAAAATTTTCAAAACTGACTATAGAATGAATTTTTAATGTTTTCTGAGTATAAAACTAATACATGATTATTATGGAAAATTTAGAAAATACTGAAAAATGTAAAGAAGAGAAAAAAAATTATCTGCCATTTCACTATCCAGAGATAACACTGTTAATAATAATTTGTATTTTCTTTCAGTCTTTGTCTATGCTATTTATATGTATGAGTGTGTATATGTGTTTGCGTGTGTGCATAATAACAATATTGAGATTATACTGACAATATAGTTGTATATCCTACTTTTTATAACTTGACATCATAAATACTTCTCCATGTCTTTGAAAATGTGATTTTTTTAAATGTCTGCTTAATATTCTATTGTATGAATATACCATAATTGAACCCATTCTCTCTGGATATTAGATTGTTTCTAATATTTCACAATTATAAATAACAGTGGATGGACATCTTTGTATGTGAAATTCAAACTGTATTAATACACAGTTCTTTAGGGTATATTCATGGGAATGGGAGGATTGGTTTAAATGCTGAGAAGTTTTTGGCTCCTTAAAATATGGCCAAATTACCTTGCAGAAAGTTTGTGCCAAATTAGCAATGTAGGAGTATTCATATTGCTCCTTCCCCACTATTGATTATTATTTTTTTTAATCTTTGACAGTTTGTTAAATATTTGTTCTTTTGATCATTCAAATTAATGAGTGGCTTTATAATGAGTCAGTTTTTTCCTTCTGTAATTTTATAGGTGATTGTTTAATAAAAAACAGGAGGGTTGCTTAGGTTGAGTGGGCAGTAGCCTTATTAGTATGTTTACTGGACATTACAAACTCTAGAATTTTCAATATCATCCACCTTTCCTAGAATATGAGCACATCTTTCATACGTGGTCATTAAGTACAAAGAGTTCCAAACTGACAGTTGAGTCTTGGGTTCTAGTTCTGCCTTTGCTTCTAATTAATTCTCTCACCTTAAATATTTCATGTTGTGTCAAAACTTTCTCATTTGTAAAATGTGGAGGTGATCTTTTAAGCACTTTTCAAAGTACTTTAGTGTTGTGACTTTAGTCTTTAGAAATTATGGTGTCACTTATGTTTAGAAGCTACATGATTGAATTAGATTGAAAGTATTATCTTTTGATTTTTAACTCTACGTACATGAAAATGAAAGTCTTTAACAGAAAAGGAAAATTAATATGTATTATTTAATATGGTTAATATTACCTAATTGTTGAACTTAAAATTTCCTACTTTAAGTGCCTTTAACAGTGTTTTGTATTTGAAATCTAAAATGTAAAGGAAATTATGTAGTTCTGTATAGTTTCTTCTTTATTTTTACTTTGAGTTATTTGCAACTTTTTTTTTAACCTTAGATTACACAGAGCAATGTATTCATGGATTCTTCACTATTTCACTAGTGAGTTCTTGAGAAATGTATGTTAAAAATTAGCTCATTGAGCAGGTAAGTAAAGTCTTCTTCTTGGGTGGGCAACAAATCTTCATACAGAGTAGGATAAAGGACTATTCAGATATTCCAGTGTTTATATTTAGATATTTCAATATGAATGGTGGGCATCCTGAGTTAGTTAATGGTTATTGTTACAGAGCTCAAATTTTTCTTTGGTAGCAAATAGTTCATTATCCTAGATTAGAGGTTAGCAAATGCTTTGGGTAAAGGGTCACATAGTAAATATTTTGAGTTTTGCAGGCCAACAGTCTCTGTTGTATTAATTTACCTTTGCTATTGTAGCACAAAAGCTGCCATAGACAATGTGTTCAACTCAAATACAAATAGACATTGAGCTGGATTTGGTCCATGGGTGGTAGTGTGCTGTTCCCTGTCCTAGATGGTGTAGTTCACTTGTAGTTCAAAATGTTGGCTAGTAATTTAAACTGCAACAAGTGGTTTTATCATCCCAACCTCTCCTAATTTGATGTAGTTCAGTTTGCTGGGTTTAGTGTTATTTAGGATTATAAAGGTAGGTGGGAAAGTGGGTAAGGGAAACTAGGAACTCTTAGAAACTTGTGTTAAAGTACTTTGAAGTCCTTTTATTTCCTGGAGCCCACTGGAGGTTTGCTTTGCTGCCATACATTAAGAGTGATGAGTGGGGGTTGTGATTGGTTGTTGCAAATGATATAAATTATTTTAAGCACTTGGCTTCCTAGATGATAGTAAAGAGTGGATCAGATAGACCTTTTTACCTGAGTATTTTAGGACACTAGACCAGTAATTTAAGAGAGAATGTGAAATGTGAGTCTTTATTTTGCCATGTAAAGACTTTTGGAAAAACAGCTACTATCTTGTATCTCCATCACTTTATTTACCCGTTCCCTCTGCCCCCCCAATATTTAGGAAGGACATAAACTCAGAATAAAAGAGTTATTTAACCTGAATAATTTTAAGTCGATGGAAAAATTACTACACTGTTCTTTTCTCATTTACTCTAGATCACTGAAAACTTCATCACACATCAGTCAGTTCATGGACTGGCAGTTGGGAAGTGTGGTGATATAGTTGTTGAAAGACCTAATGTAGTTATAAAACTGTTCTTGATTAGGAGATGTAATAAACCTCATGCACTCTGAGATTCAGACTAAAACTTTTATATTATTGTGTTAAATTGTATGTGCCACATATTAAGAGGGGCATTATGAATTAAATGTTCACAGGGAGGCAGCCAGAATGTTGAAAGACCTGAGTGCTATGGAAAGTGGGATGCAGTCAAAGAAATTGGTGATAATTATTTTGGAGAATATAAGTTTAAAGAGAGGGAGTTTTCTTCAAATATTATTCTGTGTTGTTATAGATGGAAAAATTAATTGTAAGAAATGGAAGTTTCTGGTTCCATATTTAATGTTCTGTATGAGAACTTCTAAGTGAAAATTGACTCTGTCCTCATAAAATCATTGGAAGTATTCAAAAAAAGCTAGATTAGGGTTTCTAAAGTAGGCTTCTTGTACTCTCGGCATCAGCATTACCTGGGTATGATTGGTGTAGATCTAAGATTATGGGTCACAAAGCTGAAAAAAGCTAATGGAATTAGTACAAGTAAAATGAAATGGATTTCATTTGTATAAAACTCTTAAGGGAAGTCCTTTTTAAGTAAAAATTGATTTTGATCCTTTAACACTTAACTTCAACACAGATTATTAATTGATGAGATTATTATTGCTTAATTGTTAGTGGTGGGATACTGGACCTTTAGAATAATTAATGTATTTTTTTATTTTTAGTTAAAATATTTAAATATAAGGTAAAGTTTTACCATTTACTAAAATAATTTTAAGTTGGTCTCTGAATAAGTGACCTAGCTTTATTAAACACAGATGCTCCTTGAATCTAAAGTAGAGCCATATCATTAGCAGAAAAGGGTATTGAGGGAACTTGTTCTTTTTTTTAACTATTAATGTCAAAATAATAGGAGGGGGACCAGCAGCACCTGGCAGATAAGTTTTCTCTGCACTCTTCCTCTTCTCCTGCCCTGTAAGTAGAATTGAGTGGCATGTCACAGTATCATCATTGACCATGCTATACAATTGATAAAATTACCCTCAACCAGTGCTGGTAGCTGAGGTGTCTGCCTTTCAGTGGTCACTTTTGTGGATGGATTTTGTTTGCCTATCATGAGTTCATTGATATATTCTGCTTGTTAGGTACTATGTAAAGAATTTTAGAATTTTAGACCTGTCATTTGCCCAAGGGTTCTACAGTGATCTCAGAGTGGTTTGTACCCAGGATGTATTACATTTAGAGTGTGTGTGTGTGTGTCTGTCTAATTCTAATGTCAGGTTTTGGCCAATCACCCTATAAAAATAATGGGGAAAAAATTAAAAGCCAGTTCTCCTGATTTTGAAAGCCATAATATAACACCATTGGTTTTTCATATAAATTGTAAATTATATTCAAATACATATTTTATATTGTAAAGTGAGGTTTGTAACTTTACTAGATGTAGTCATATTTTTTTTCTGTCAACCTAATAATGAAGCCAAAGAGGATATAAATACCATTACTGAGAGGATACTGAAGGCCAGTGTATTTGACTATGAGTAAGATCTGAGTTCAGGTC